AAAATGTAACATTGAGTGCGATTTTGAAAAAAAATAATTGGGTAACCAAAATAGAATCAAATTGTAACATTGTGTTTGATTTTGAAAAAAAAATATTTGGGTGACCAAAACAGAAGCAAAATGTAACTTTACATATGATTTTGAGAAAAAAATATAGTTGGATGACCAAAATAGAACCATGGGAATAATTGAGTGGCTAAATATGTAATTTACTCATTAAATTATTTGCTCATGTCGCTTCGAGGTTTTGTGTCTACTTTTTGTGTAGAATTACATTTACGGCCCCTTTCAAAATTTATTAAATCAATCAAAGCATTTTTATCTTTAATTAAATGAAAAAAATTATGTTTAACTCCTCCAAAATGTAATAATTTATTTTAATTCTTTTCAACAAAATTTTATTTTACTTTGACCCCTCGAAAAATTTATTATTTTAACTTAACCCCTAATTTTATTCATAAAATATATGGGAATTAGCCTAAAACCTTTGAATTCTGAATATCTCTGAATCCAAAATCTGATCGAGATTTAGAAGTACTTTTTTTTTCTATTGAAAACTGATAAAAATAAATTAAATGATAATCGGTTTTAAATTATTTGACATTTTATAAAAAATAAAGTGACTACGTTTAATCTATTATTTTATCAGTCTAGGGTGATTATAAGATAATATTTGTCTGAAAGACTCAATCGTTTGACGATGAACTCTCAAACACCTCAGCAAACGACGTGCTCGAACCTGAAACCTTAATGATAAAAATTATTCCTTTAACAATTGAGATCGATTGGTTCCTACCTTACCCTCTAAATTTTATATAAAAATGGCACTGAGTCAAATACATATTTTATTAATTATTATACTGTTTATTTAAGATTTTAATGAAAACATTGAATCTTCTATGAAAAGAAAAGAATAGCGATTAATTCAGATTTTCTTACCCTTTTTGGAAATATTTTGTAGCCAACAAACAAGAAAGAAACTTGAGTGATCTCACCAAAGAAATTATTAACAATGAACATTGGTCACTGAGCTTAACCACTTTGTTATAAAGTTGTGCAGAGTCTAGATTAATCTTTGAAACTCGTCCAGAATCATCCCAGTTTGATTTTTAGCTTACTTTCTTGTTTTCTATGGGTTAGGTTAGAATTTCATCTTTTTGTTTTTGGATTGTAATGTCAAGCCTCTTCTAGTTTGTGTTTATTTTCTCAAGAACCAATAGTAGATGGGAAACTTTTTGGTTGATAATTCTAAGTTTAAGAAGTAAGATCACGTCTCTCATCTCGTTTTTTCATCTTCCACTACATACCAAATATTTATTTGATTTTCAATCTTGCAACATGCATGTTCGAGTGATGTTGTGTTATATATTTAACTAATATTTGTTTTTATTTATTGTGATGAGAAGATTATATTTAAATATTGTGAATATTGATTTTTTTTTTTTAAAAAAAAAGGAAATTTAGTCACTTCGATGATTTTTTGTGACATTTGAATTTTCTGGTTTGATCAAATCGAGTTTAAGATGTTACATTTAGTGATATCATAGCTTAAATTAAGTCGATTCTAGATAGCATGATGGTCATAATAAGATTTCTAGTGAATACAAACTCATAAGTTTAAGCTGCATTCATTCGAAGAAGACTGAAATTCTGATGATGTTTCCTTGTATACTTCTATTGCATAATTTTTCACTATGTTTGATGAATCATGTCATGGTCATACGGGTAGATACGAGGGTCAAGTCTCTCGCAATGATGATGGTTGTGATGATGATTTTGGCCTAGATTCTTTTGGATACAGACCTTTTGGGATGCCAAGATGGGGGAGGTAGCTTATTTTCACAGTTCGAATTCGATTGTTGTGCTTCTGGTGTGCGATATGCTGAGAGTTTCGACGGATGTACCATGTGAGATCCCATTTGAGAGGCTCTAATAATATTGTACTATTGACTTTTATGTACGAGTGAGAATGACCTGATCTCGATGACCAACCTAGTGGACCCTGAGACAAATGCAAGGTAGTCCAACATATATTTAAATGTATTACCATCCTTCTTAAGGGTAATGTAAGCATTATTGGGAGATCGTCAAGATAGGGTCGGAGTTACAAATATAACATTATTTTTGGTTGAGTTCAACAAAACATATATCGAAGAGTCCCATATGAATGACTCGAGGGAACAGTTTGTACACCTAGTTCATTTGAGTTGCTTAATGTTCGAATGTGAGCACGAGTTCCTATTGCTGAGTGAGTATGTTTTAGATATGGTATCAATCGAAGCATATGATGTAGACATTCAAATAGTGTTTGTAGTCCGACATCCAGATGTATTTATGAAAGATTTATGAATAAACCTCATAATCATAACTTCAACTTTAATCAAACTAATCATTTGTATTTATACAACAATATGTAACTACTTATATAACAAAAACCTAACTAACCTTGAAACCTGATAACAAACATTGACTTGTATAACTGCACAACTCATCATATTGATAATACTAACATACTTCCTGTTTGTCTCCCTTTCTAAGCTTCTTCAAGAATTTTCCAATTGTTGATGTAGAAAAACATTGTTAACAAACTACAATCTTATTTCTTCTGCCGAAATGACTCTGAGATGTTCTCTAAGTCGAACAAAAAAAGGAGCTTACAAAGGCTTAGTCAGAACATCAACTATTTGGCCAAAAGTAAGAACATAGTTGATCAGAAATGATCCATCCACGACCTTTTCCCTAACGAAACATAAATCCAACTCAGCATGTTTAAGTTTGGCATGATGAACCGGGTTAGCAGTGTGAGCAATCACACTGGTATTGTCACACCAGATGATCGATGTAGCAGTGAGTTGAATATTAAGTTCAAAGTAACAAAGATTTGATCTACATAACTTCACACATAGAATTAGTTAGACTTTGAAATTCGGCTTCAATGGAAGACCCAGACACCACTCCTTATTTCTTAGAACTCGTTATAGCAAAACAGAGTTTTAGCGGCGTTTTTAATCCTATTGCGGCGTTTTTTAGTCCTATTGCGGCGTTTTTAAGCGCTGCTAAAAGCACTTGCGGTGATAGGAAAAACGCCGCAAAAAGCGTCATCCATACCAGTGCCGCTAAAGTTAGTAGCGTTTGAAAACAAAAAACGCCGCAATAGGCCAAGATCTATAGCGGCGTTTTGGAACAAACACCACAAAAGATTAAGATCTATAGCGGCATTTTTGGAGCAAACGCCGCAAAAGGTCGAGATCTATAACGGTGTTTTTGGAACAAACGTCGTAAAAGGTTGAGATCTATAGCGGCGTTTTTTGAACAAACACCGTAAAAGGTCAGATCTATAACGGCATTTTTGAAACAAGCGCCGCAAAAGATTGATATCTATAGCGGCGTTTTTAGAACAAACGCCGCTAATTACCTTTTTTAACTTAGATTAATTGATTTTGTATATTTCATTTATGCTCTACATCACCTAAATTTAATTAAGACACACATTATGCAGAAAAATACTTAACAACAAAATAAATTAAAATTTATAAACATTACAATTAAATGTAATGTCGTTTGACATTATTCTCTAGAATTTAGTCTTTTGTTTTTTACTGAACACATGGTTGGTTGCTTTCTCGATGTCTGGTTTTTATGTTCATTTGTACAAGGCGATTCGTTGGTTATCACATATATGTGCCAGATGTGATTGTTGTTAAAGGGAGATCATTTTTTTCGTTGGCCATTTTGATTCTTCTTCAAGTTTCTCTCTTCCATGTTTTGATGCTCGAAGCTGTTGTTGTGTTCAGTTTATATACGTCATAACTTCACTTGTTAATGGTTTCGTTGATCAAACTATCACTTAAGAGATCATTGTTATATTTTATTTTCAATAGTCTTGATTGTATTTCTTCAGTTTGTAATTGATAAGGTGTTTGTTGATACGGCTTTCAATAAATGAAATATCCTAATTATTTTCGAAAAAAAATACTAAAGAAGATAAAAGATGATAAGATTAAAATGGTTTTACATATAATAAATAAAAATACCATTATTATTTAAAGAGAGCATGCAATGCATTTAGGTAAGCCAAAGAGCCGGAAGGGGTTAAATTTTTGTGTCGACTTCAATTCAACTCAAATAAGACATCTGATTTAATTTAAATTTTAAGAAATTGCGCCCGACCTGAAACCTAATTCAAAACACACGTTTTGGTAAATATAAAAAGTTATCATTCTTATTAGATAAAATGAAAATATAATTAGAAAATAAAGAAATATTATAATAATTATTCCTAAATATATAAAGAAAATTATACTACTACTTTGAACAAGATCAAATACTTTTTATCCTAGACTCAATCAAACCACATTTTTCACAAATCCCAATCAAAACCCATACTTGAAAACAAAAATACAACTTTATAGAATCAAATTAAAACCCGTCGAATTGAAATCCCTAAACGCATTGAATTTACAATTAAGAGATTCATTTTGCTTTTGCTTCCCTGCCCAATGCTAACTCGTTCAATAAAATATGCCTGCCAATTAATTAATCACGCATAATACCATTTAATAATTATAGCACATCTACAGAGATGACATACAAAAATCATCTCCACTTATATCCCAAAAATAGAATACAACCAAATTTAAAGCGCACCATTACAACTTTGCTGCTACACTTTGTATAATTGATTAGAATTGATTCTACGCCACTTTAAAGCTCAATTAAGGGTTGATCTATAAAACTACAAAATCTATAAGCAATACACACCCAACACATACTACAGATCCAACTGCTTGAACTCAGAAACTCGAGGGAAAACAACACTCCCTTTAACCACCGAAATCACTTAATGGGTTCAACTCCAAATAAAATTAGCTAACCCTTATTCCCATATGTAATGGGGTAAGGGGGAGGTAGGATAGTAGATTGCCCCCAACGCCAGGTTGAGAGCAACTTCCGTGGGCGACCTCCGAATTATGAATTACCCTCCGTGGGACTCGATCCCATGACCCCAAGATTAAAAGCTTTGTACTCTACCAACTGGGTTCAACTCCAAATGAAAACTTAAATTGGAGAAAGACATGTCAGATATCCAAATCATGCTACATACGTAAATTATTTGTTAAGCACATGTAACATCCCATCTAAAAGGGAGAAACAAACCTCACAATTTGTTTTTAACAAGTTTTCCATATATGCTGATCAAAACAAACATTTAACTATGCTATTCAAAATTCTGGACCGTTAGACACATAAAAGGATACTTGACGCTCGAGTGAAGAGCTGCATGAATAAATTTAGGTGGCGGATAAATACCATGCTGCGGAAGAACAGAGCCGAATTCACTCTTCCATAGGCTGATTCTCTTCTGTCTGGGATTGGGACACATTGACTTTGATTTTTGGAAGATGAAGCGATAAATCTTGTGCAAGGGCGAGTGGAGCTTTGACCAAGTGAATATCCTGCTCCAATTGCTTCCTTGCTTCTTTCTGCCTTTGGACTTTGCCCGTCTTAAGCCTGGAAAAAGATTCGAAATCGATGGGTTACTAAGCAAACAACATGCTAAAATATCTTTTAATAGGAAACAGAAGTGCAAACTAACCTGCTTTTGATGTGGTCAGATGCCCTATCTGATCTGATTTTATCAATCTTTTTAATGGCCTTAAGAGTATTCTCTGCAAGGTTTCGATCATATCTCTCTGGCCTATTACGTTTTCTCTCAAACTCAAATGTGGCGTCCTGGTGAAAAAGAAAAGAAACAGATTTGGTTTAAGCAATGTACTTATGCAACTGCAGTTACCGATTATTGATGCCTTATGCTATCACCTGAGTCATGTCCTTTCCATGCAAACGCCTATAGGCCTTGGTCCATTTTACTTTACGTGGATTCCTTTTCATCTTGAAGTTCTTGTGGCATTTGGATCGGCATAAACGGAAGATCTGCAAAAGTTTGAACCACCAGAGATTAAAAGCAGTCCAAACAGCAAGTAAAACATTTTTCTGAATAGTGATTACAAGGTAGTATATGTTCAGAATATCTTTTAACCATTGACATTTGACAACACACACCCTGCATGCGCAACTGCTCAAACTCAGGACCTCTAGGGAGAACAACACTCTCTTAACCACTAAGACCATCTGATAGGTTCAACAGCAAGAATAACTTGGATTAGGGAACATAGTTCTATAAATGATTTTAGTTGATGCCATTAATCCGTCATGACATTAACACAGCTAAATTTTATTGAAAACTGCATATATCTCCACTAGGGTGAAAAATAGGTCTGGCTCGGGTCGGGTTTTTAGAGATTATGTTCGGGTCGGATCGGGTCAAGTTCAAGTTTAGGGTGAAAATATCCAACCCGACTCAGTCCGAAAAAATGTAATTTTACCTTATATATTTAGGGATAATTGCAATAAGACTCCTCTATATATTATTTTTTCAATTAAATCCCTATTTTTTATTGAATATAAGTAATATGTTTTTATAAATATATTATTTTGGGTTGGGTCGGATTCATGTTTAATCTCAAAAGGGAGAGTCGGGTTCGGGTGGAGGGTGTATAATTTTCAGGTTAGGTTCGGGTATATAATTTTTGGGGTCGGTTTGACCAGAAACCCAGCCCATGCCCATCCCTAAATTCTCCACACCACCAAGCATATACACACAGTAGCAGGTAAAAAATTACAGGCTGTTGATATATACAGTGCATACTATATTAAGAGTAACTAAGACTATATAAAAAGACAGAAAGGATACTACATTAAGAGTAACTAAGACTGAATAGAAAGACAGAAAGGTAACCTCTCTCATTGTCAACAAACTAGACAAATGCCGAGTCTATTTAGCATCAAACAAAATGTGTAATATTATACGCCAACGTGGAAAAGAACTAAATAGAGGCAAAACAATGACTTTGGAATATAAATGTAAAATTAAGAGAGAAACATTTACCTTGGCATCATTGCGAACGAACTGAATACCAAGCCCCGGATATACAGTGGAAGAACAAAACCAGCACTTCTCCAATCTCATCTTGCTCTCAAATTAACTAAAAAATACAATTTCCAAAGCAGAAAGTAGCAAAAGCAACATCAGAAGTAATTACATGATGAAACTAATTAGCAATAGCTATGGGGCATTCTGTAATCCCATCTTGTTCTCAAACTAATCAAAAAATTACAATTTGTAGTACAGAAAATAACAATAGCAACATCAGGAATTTACACGGAGAGACTAATTAGCAATAGCTAAGGGGTATTCTCCAATCTCATCTTGTTATCAAATAAATTATAAATTTATAACAAAGTACAGTTTCTTAAACAAAAAATAACTATAGCAATATCAGAAATCATCGAATAAAAAGACTAAACAGCAATAGTTACGGGGTATGGGTATCACATACTTAAATGCATAAATTGACAATAGCATCATAAGAGAATTCGGTATAACAACATCTGATACTTCCATGCCTATAATTCTTCAGTTTTTCAATTTCATTGACTAGAAAACCTCAATCAATAAACTCAACCTATTTACATTATCCAAGTGAAATAAAATTACTTTTAACAGTGAACGCTAAACCTAATTGGAAATAGTTAGGGGTATCCCGTCGCTATATCGCGCCGGAGCCATCCTCCACCACTAAAGACCTCAATATCAGCAGATGGAAGCAGCGATTAACAGCGCTTCCGAAAATAGAGGCGATACCGATAGCTTTAGAAAAAGCTCCTTTCCCAACAAAGTAAACAGAAAGAGACAAGGTATCAAGCAGTAGGAACGAAGAAGAAAATGAAATATGGCAGAGTTCCGCAGAGGCAGAAACCAGAGAACTCAAAATCTCGTGGCTAAAGTAGGAAAATATGTCTTCAAGTTATGTTTAGGGTTTAAAAAATTTACCAAACTTTATGGTCTGCAAAAAGAGAGCTTGGATCAAGGTGAGATACTTGCTTGGCGGCGGGGATGAGTGAAGAGATATCAGAGTAGGTCGATCAATTTTTATAGCATTCTGTTTAGGGTAAACTATTAGCCTTACAAAATTTTGAGGTTTCGATTAAAAATAATAATAATAATCAAACGATTATTAATATTATCGTTTTGTAATAGGGTTAACTATATGAAAAAATATTTATATTTATATTTTGCTTATTTTTTATCATTGATTTTGAAAAACATAAGATATAGTCACTTTTGTTTTTATTTAACTAAAATATGATCACTTTCGTTTTTATTTAATTAAGAGTTAACTGTCGTCAACAAAAGTTAAATATTTTGATATAATCACACATGTTGTTCATGTTATTTATATATTCTTTCAATTTAGTCATACTTTTAATAAATTAAAATAAATTTAATTATCCAATCGAATTATTTCACATATCATGCCACGTAGGGGTGAGCGTTCGATCGAGCCGACTTGAGTCGATAAAAAATTCAAGTTATTCGAGTTAATGAGTCTTATTTTACAACTCAGAGTTGACTTAAAAAAATTTTCGAGTCAAGTCAAATTTTTGAGTTCCTGTTTAAATTTAATTATAAATATTTATAATATTATGATATTATTTGATTCCAATTTAAGTGATCTTTATAACCATATAAAATACATGTGCATTTCTTCATATTTTTGTATATGTGATATACATTTATGATACAAAGTCGAGAGACTCAACTCAAACTTGAAAATCAATCTATTAATTACTAAAATTTTCAAGTTATTCGAATTGTATTTTTCAACTCGGTTTGAACTTGAAATTTTTTCGAGTCGAGTAGGGTTTATGAAAGTTAATCCTCTAACAGAACGGTGACATGTGGCATTAGGGGTGAGTGAAATTCGGCTCGACTCGAAGAACATATTTTTTTACTCGACTCTTGAAAACTTGACTCGAATTAACTTCGAGTTGTAATTTCATAAACCCAACTCGACTCGAAAAAATTTCAAGTTCAAACCGAGTTGTAAAATACAACTCGAATAACTCAAAAATTTTAGTAATTAGTATTTAGTGAATTGATTTTCAAGTTTGAGTTGAATCTCCCGACTTTGTTTCATAAATGTATATCACATATGAAAAAAAATATGAAGAAATACACATGTATTGTATATGGTTATAAAAGATCATTTAAATTGGAATCAAATAATATCATAATATTATAAATATTATAATTAATTTAAATAGAAACTCAAAAATTGACACGACTCGAATCGAAAAAATTCTAAGCCAACTCAGAGTTGTAAAATATGATTAAATTTATTTTAATTTATTTAAAATATGACTAAATTGAGAGAATATGTAAATAAAATGATCAAATATGTGATTATATCAAAATATTTATTGTTATTAACGGCAAAAACTCGGAGTGACCACATCTTATTTAAAAAAAATGATATTTTTTTTTTTAAAATCAATTACCGAAAATGAACAAAAACATAAACATAAGTGATTTTTCATGTAGTTAACCCTTTGTAATATTATCTCCATAAACATTAAGAAAAAAATATTTTTTAATTTATTTATTCGTTAAAATTAATATATATGAAAATTAGATAAGATCATTTATATAACTTGAAGATATCAGAAAATATTAATCTCTAAATAAATATGTGACTGCATTAATAAAATAAGACGATATTATTAAAATTTACACAAACATATAATCTACAAGTACAAGAATGAAAATCGAATATCCTTCAACCTGAAGTCGAAACTTGACTCTAAAAGCTGCAAAAAATCATATATGCTAAAATGATGAATGTGATGCACCTAAGTATGTCTAAGATGCATGCAACATGAATGAATTATGTGTTATTTCTTGGATGGAGTCTCGTGCTTTGTCTGCTAATCTGGTCCCTGGAGTCGATCGTGCCCCCATTCTCTTTTCGAGCTTTGGCTTTACAGACATTTCAAATCTGAGACTGTTTTGTTTGGAAATATTTTTCTCATTTTTCTTGTTTTAGGAGGGAAAAAGATGAAAATTCTGTAAAATATTGTTCGCAATTAAATCAAATTATAAACATGAGTTCAAAGATTATCAAAGGAATCAATAGCTCTTTTAATGCTTTCAGAGTTACAGCTCTTTGACAAACGTTCAAAGGGATGAGTTGGCTTTAGGTTAACCTAAGGTTTCGGCCATAAAAAAAATGTCATTTTTGTGTTATTGCAACATGCTTTGGTATTTCAATTGGGTGCGGACAAAATGACGCAACTAGCATGATCAATTACTAGACCTTTTATTTCGGTCCTCTGAAATCTTCCATTTGTTCAAGCTTTGTAGGCTCCTCTAACGAAGGCAGTGCAAAAAAATATCGGTCTAAAAATGAAATTCTTGAGTGCTCGTGTGTAGTCAACTATAACAGGTGTTCCTTAACTCCCTTAGTCCAACATTACCGAAAATTTCTTGCTCAGATAAATTTAATTTAATTTTCCATTGTCTGGCTAGCTGAATCCATAAAGTCGGGGCGTTTAACCAATTACTTTAGAGGGACAGCTTAACATTATAATCACTTTTATCAGGTTTAACTGAAGGGTTCATCTCATCACAAAGTCTTCGGCCTGAAAAAAGCAGTGGAGCAAACACCGAATTGCCAAGTGTCCGAGCAATGTCATGGTTTGAATACAATTTATTCATAAAGCCAGGGCTTTCGAGTTTCCTCTGTAACCAATTGCCTTAGTGGAATAGCTCAGTTTTACGGATTTAATTTGTTAAGATTGTCAAGAAGAACCTGTTATAGTCTAGGTGTTTGTTGAAAGTAAAAAATTTCATCTTTAGAGTTCAATTTTCAAGCAACTGACCTAAACTAGATTCACTTACTCGACATTCCATATGTGAAGATCATTATCATCACTGAACGTCTTAAATAAAAAGTATAATAATGTCATATGCAAAAGGATGCCCCATGTTGTCCGCACCTTATGAAAGGAAAATGTTATATTGGTTAATTACAAGAGTAGGGTACGGTGTTTGAGTGTATATTCTGGGTAAAGTCAAATTCCTTGTTTTAAATCATGTTACTTTGTTAAAGATATATAACTTTAAACCATTTCAGAGTTTCTTAATTCAGATGATATTCAAAGAATTGCAAGTTTGCAAATGTGATTCATTGTTTAACATCTTTAAAGTAACATAAATTTATTTAAAAGTCCTTACAAAAACTTGAGGAAAAAATGAAAAAACAAATTCAAACAAAATGTCTCAAATGATGAAATGGTCTTCCTCACTTGGATGCCCCCAAGTTGTTGAAGTCGATCCGATTCTTGTTACGTATTTTATGTATGATTCTCTTGATTGTGGAGTAATTCTCGATAGTGCGCCCGGGGACTCCGCTATGATTTTCGCAATGAGCGTTCTCATCATACTACCTGGGGTACAGGGCTTCATGGATTTCTCTGGATATGGTGACACCCCGTGTGCGTCAAACAACTGTTGGTAAAGCTCCTTATATGTCATAGGATCAAAATGTTCTCATTTTTGATGAGATATGTGAATGTAAAAAAAGGAAAAATAATGCGAATGTAAAGAAAAATAACAAAATGCACAATATGTCTGAATGCATGATGCATGAAATGTTCGATGCATTGATCCAAAAAATGTACCTGTTATTATAAATAATCCTTATTGGGGCAAAAATGTTACGTCTTAAGAGACAAAAATATTTTGAAGGCATAGACCCCGAACAGCTTCTGACAAGTTGATTCATCTTTTCACTGGTTGAATATCCTGTCGAACCATTCCGGCTCCTTTGGCTAAACTTGTGCAGGTGATGAGCTGCTTGCCCCAAAAGGTCTCGAAGGACTGCATCGCCGGCTTTCACTCTATGTCGAGCTTGTTCCAAACGAAAGTGCCATCGGAGCCCTCCACCCAAAGTTTATCGACTTGTTTCTAGAATTTATCAATAATGATCTCCAGCTTAGCTAGGGTTTCGCCATCTTGATCTCGCAGTTTTCGAAAGGACTCTCCGGGTCAGTAACATTTTCCTCGTCTTGCCCCTGCACCCTTTGCCTCCGAGTATTCTTTGACCACGGCTGGGTTTCTGAGCTTTTTATCTCTTTGTATTATAATCCCTTTGTCCATTAATGCATATTATTCATGTTTAACAAACACATTTTTGGTGGATCAACACCTCGTTTTAAATGATGCGAATGATGAAACAAAATGAATATAAAACAAAAAATAAAAGGGGTTAGTGAGGTAAATCAAAATAAAAAAAAAATAAAAAATCCTACCCCACATGATAATCTACCCGAACAAGCTTAATATTCCTACACAGACATGATTTCTATCCTGCATGCTAATTTCAAACAAATCCTAGCCGCATATTTGTCTAGTTCGCATGCTTTGAACAGAAAATAAAGCAGGAAACAAAGCATCTTAGGGTTTGGAATGAGGTTTTGGGGTGGGCTCTAATTCCCTGCACTCTCCCGGTTTAGGTTCTAAAAAGGTACTCGAGTTCTCCTTGCCGGTGCCCCATTGGGCTTGCCAGACCCTTAGTCCTAAGCCTATTACAAGCTTGTGTGGACTAAGTTAAACTCGAGAGGACACATTCCCTTATGCCCGCACGGTGAATAAATTCACACGAAGACATAAGGTATATGAATCCCGAAGGCTACTTGCTAGGCATATGCGGTGAATAAATTCACACGAATGCGTCGCTTTCACCCCCACTTAAAACGGGTTTGGAGCTCAGGTTTAGAGTTTAGAGATGACAATTTTGAAACAAATTTGAAATCATTAAAAAACATCAGTACAACTATTTATTTGAAACAAAATAATCAAAGATAAATAATTGGAATCGAATAAATAAATTAAAATTAAAATTTAACATTTTCGCATAAAAAGACAACCAAAAATTAATTTCGGCCTGACTCACTTACCTGTCCCCAGCAGAGTCGCCAAGCTGTCGGAACCGTCTTTCGGTTGTGCCCCGGAATTGGGCTTCTACTTGAATGAATTGGGTTAGAGTCGCCACCGACCATTTTAAAATGAATTTAGGTAGGTCGGACACCAT